AGATACAAGAGAAAAGAAAAATACAGGGAAAATAAACTACTTTTTTTTTGTTTTCTTATTTTTTTTTTTTTTTGGATGAAATGTAAGTATATATTAACACCCAAAGAAATAACAAGTCAATGTTACAAGCAAAGTGCATATCCCGAAACAAGGGATACCACAACATCAAGATAGAGATCAACAAAAGTCAACAATTTGAACCTAAAAAAAACACATTAGGAGCAAATTAAACTCAACAAACAAGCTCACCAAAAAAATTAGGAATCCTTTATTTAATATCCAAAGAAAGCATGGAAAGGATTAGTAAACTTTGCGCCAAAGCAAACTTCCCCTTTCTTCGTAGTCACCCCCGGCAACCTCTCAAGACTGTTTTCTTATTTTAAAATACTCCAGGGGCGTCTGGGGAAGGGGGACTGGGGGGCCTGGAGTAATGGGGGCTGAAACCCATTCCATTGAGTTTCGAACCCAAGACCTCCCGTAAGAGAGAGTGAATCTGCGACCAGCTGGGCTGGACCGCTTCCCCAATAACCCGAGAACTCACTACATTAACAATTGTTTTTTTTTCGGGATTCCAAGTGTAGCGGAGAGAGCAAAAATCAATAATATGTTTTTGTTAACTAAGAAGGCATCCAAGTGGAAAAAGGTATAGCTTCCATTTCAGAACTCGGTGCGTGCCTATTTGTTGGTAAAAATACTTGCATAGTTGCATGCTTCACCGGAAACTAAAATTAGTATAGGCATTCGTAAATGCTATATTATGGATCAAATAATTTATATGGGTTGCATAAACTATTAGTAAACATATCTAAAGAGAGGACTTCAGTTCATATTTTAAGATTTTATGATTTAAAAAAATTGTCTACATGTAGCGTAACAAGAAATCTTATTAATGACCAAAATACATTGTCAGAACACTTTTTTAAGGCCAAACTTTGTCATTTTCAAAACTGTGAGCAACTATATATTTTTATTAGAAATTCTTTATAAATTAAAAAAATTATATAAAAATGTTCTTGTTAAAAGTAATTTCATACAAATATAAAATTTATAACTTCCATAATACTATACTAATCAAAATCACAGTTCAAGTTTTTTGAAATGACAAAGTTTTTTGGGACGAATGCAGTATTTAGCGTTATTATTTATTTTAACGGGTTCTTCTAAGGCTATTATTAGAGGCCCAAATGATCGGAATAGAGTGCTCTACCTGTGACCCTTTGAAATGAATGAACCTTTTTGCTGACTAATTACGTTGCTCATTCAAGATCATAATTATTGATTGTAGTGAATATATTGTTTTGTTTCATTTACTAAAATTTTGAATGCTTTTTTGGCACAAATTTAACCTTGATTGTTAAGAATTTTTTAAAACTAGAAATCGTTAAATGACAAAAACCAAATCGTTAGGAATGGTTTAATTCCATATCGGTTCTATAGAACATTTATAAGAACCGAACCGTTATTAGGATTTGATATTTTTTAAACCGTTTCATCTATTTTGCCTATGAACCAAACCGGTCTCCAGCCTATTTCGAAGTTCAAAATATTTCAATGGTTTTTGTCAATTTAGAGAGCTGTGATATACGGAAGTGTACCATTTTGTTTAAATTACACTCTCCCTCCTTATCCAAGCACAATGCCAGTATTTCAAAATTCTGTTAGTCCAATTTGTACCTAAAAGTTTTGAAGTTAATGTTTAATTTAACTATTATTGTTTTAGGTTCTACAAAAGTTTGACTCTAAAAAAACTGTACTTGATTTCAATGTTGTTTACCTTTATCTTTCAAGGACACGTCCTATAATAGGTAGATGGTTATCTTACCTTTTGGCTTTTTCATCACCATCCATGATATATATTGATATGCTACTTTGGCCTTTTCACCAAGTATTTGAAGATTATATTAACTATAATTTATCTGAAGGGGATCTAAGATATTTGGTAAATTGCATAATTTGAACCACACAATTTGACAATTGTTATCATTGTCTCACACACTGACAATATACTACAAATATTAGTACTTTTTGCATTTGTTACATTTGAACCCCACTGCCTGATAAAGAAGTTACTTGAAGTTTTATACGGAGTATATCTACCTTTACAAACTTCCAGTTTTTACACGTTTAAAGAGTCCTTTCATTTTAAAAGATTTAAATCCACCTATTAAATTTGGTATTTATAATAGGTCATTATAGTCCTTCAAAATAAAACATTTGTCAAATGCCACTGCTCGTTACTAATAATTTTGGGCATCTATCGCACATTGTGCGTACATTGCTAGTTTAATGAATAAAACTGAGCCGAGTTTAAGGTGTTGCCATATCGCCAAAATAAGCGGTTATGCCTTTCATGTGACCATGAAGCTTGTTTTTTTCAATCTGCACAACAAAGCTTGTTTTGTAACGAGTGAAGGCCATTATGAGAATAAAAATAAGGCTTACTAGACTGATAGCCATGAATATCATATTTATATATAAGTGATAAATGAGTTTGAATTACATAAAGATTTCGTATTGAATATACAAAACCTATTTTAGGCATAAAATAAACTATTACGTACACCCCACAATCTATGCCGGAGGGACAACGTGTAGATCGTCATGAAGAAAAAGAAATAGTAGCGAAAGAAGACTCTTCGTAAAAATATCCGCAAGTTGTGGATGTGTAGGAACATAACGAACAACCAAATCTCCATGTGAAACTCTCACAAACAAAATGATAATCAATATTAATATGTTTAATACGATCATGTTGAATAGGAATTAGTTGATAAATATGAAGCAGACACATTATTACACAAAAGATGAACAGACGAACGAATAGCTATGCAGAACTCAAACAGAATAGAACGGATGCGGAGTGTATCTTGAATTGTATAAGTAATATCTTCATACTCAGCCTTTATAGAAGATCGGGAGACAATAGGTTGTTTCTTAGATTTCGATGACACTAGATTGGGACCAACCAGACCAGTCAACATCTTAGTAGGCAAGAATAGCATGAGAGGTAGTAGATGGTTGAAACGGCAATCCATGCATCAATGACCCCTAGATACTTGAAATACGCTTCACGGCCAAAATATGTGTAGTACGGAGAGCATTCATAAATTGGGAAACCAGGTGCACGTCATATGTAATATCAGAGCTAGTCATTGTTAAATATTGTAAAGCACCCACAATACTTTTATATATACTCAATAAGATCTACAAGAGGTTCACCATCAGAAAGAGAGAACTTGGTTCTACTAGGAAGAGGCGTGCTAATAGTGTAAAGGTGAAAACGGGTTAACACACCATGCATATATTTTAGTTGAGAGAAAATGATCTTGAGAAGTATGCACAGTCTCAACACCAAGAAAGCATAAAAAACTCCTAAATCTTTCGACGGCCGCCGCCAGTGAGGGAGAACATGGACTAGCCAGTGAGGTATGTATCAGCGGTGAAGAAGATTGCAGGGAGAACGGTAGCGGCGGTGAAGAAAAAATGTGGGGTGAGGTAGCGGAATCAAAGCTCCAAAAAGACAATAAGGTAGACGTGTCTGGGACAAACGAAGAAGTTACCTGAAATGTAGGGAAATATTTTCATGAAAAGTGACATGGCAATTAATGTAAGTCTTGCTGAAGACATCGATAACATTTATATTCATGAGCATAGCCAAGAAAAACACATTGAATTGAGCGAGGAGAAAGTTCGATGTTGCAAGAAAACTATGATAACAAGAACACCCAAATACGCGCAAATGATGAAATAATTTTTCAAATGGAGACATACTTTTTAGATAGAGATGTCAAACGGGCCAACCCGACCCAACCCGACCCGGCCCGTAACGGGTTTTCTTTATGTGGGTTGGGTCGGGTCAACCCGTTTAATGTCGGGCCAGAATTTCTACAACCCTAGCTCAACCCACCTAACCCGTGGGTTAAACGGGTTGGCCCGCGGGCCAACGCAAAAAAATATATAACAAAAAATTCTTTAGAAATAATTACCCGAAAGTACTTATTTATATTAGTAAGTAGTAACAAAAGAAATAAAAGAAATATACTAAAAATTCGATACTTGTTAAGTTTAATTAAAAAAAATTAAATACTAGTTATACAGGAATTTGAAAACTATAAAAGGGTATACGACAAAAATACTCACTGTATAAAAACAAAGATCTACATAAACCTTTTGATTGATTATTTGTAAATAATGACTACTAATTATTAAATATTGTAATTATTTGAACATTCTATTTGAATAAGGCCACGTACTAACCAAAAAATGTCAAATAAGGCCTTATTTATGAGGCTATGCCCTGCATTCACCATTTGGGGTGGTTCTCAGTGGAATTTGTTGATGAATTTTTTTGACCATCTTATTCATTAAGTCTAGTTTACTCATACCAAATTTCAGCTAACAATTCAATCGGGAAGGCATTCAAAGAAATTCTTGAAGATAACTGTGCTTTTAACTGCGCAGTTATCTTCAAGAGTTCATTTGAATACCTTCCCGATTGAAGTTTTAGCTGAAATTTGGTATGAGTAAACTGGACTTACTGAATAAGATGCTCAAAAAAATTCATAAAAATATTCCACCGGGAACCACCCCAAATGGCGACGGCCGGACAGAGCCTCTTAAATAGGGCCTTATTTGACCTTTTTTGGTTAGTACGTGGCCTTATTTGCCCCTTTTCTCGAATATTTATTATAGAAATAAATATTTTTTTGCCATGTTTCTAATTTTTTAACTTTAATTATAATAATATTGGTAGTAAAAGAACAATATTTAAGATAATAAAATTCAAAACAATATTTTTGTGTTTTAGCCCATGGGCCAACCCGCAAGCCGGTGGGCCAACCCACTTAAACCCGCAACCCGTGTGGGCTGACCTGCGAAACCCGCGAGCTAAATGGGTCAGAAATTCTCAATCCTAACCCACCAATAAATGGGTTTAAACGGGCCAGCCCGCGGGTTTCGGCTCATTTTGACGGCTCTATATTTAGAACATAAGAGGATAAACGATTAATAATGTTAGTAGCTATAAAAAGTGCATCAACCCAGAAAGTAGTTGGCATACTTGCTTCAATAAGCATAGTATGAGTTAATTCAAGGAGATGACGATGTTAGCGTTCCGCCACACCATACTTGCTTCAACTCATCCCCTCAATCACTTAAAAAAATAATCTTAGCATTTAATAATTTTCCATGGATTCCATACAGATGAGTGAAAGGGAAGAGGAAGGACATGGTGTTCAGCGTTGGAGCATAAGGAGTCAACGTGAACACGGATGGGATCCATGAAACGAAACCCAGCGTGAATGAAGCGGAGATGGGCGAGCTCTCTAACGGCTGCTTCAGAAAGTGCCCAGCGTCGTTGGAGGTCTGTAGCGATAGGGATGAAGTCGGCATGGAGACCAACAATGAAGTCGACGACACCGTATGAGGTGCAACTGTGGAGACCAGCGTTGCTGTAGAAGCAAATGAGACGACGGCCGTGGAATGCATGGTCAGAAAAAAATAAGGTAAAAACCTATAGCTCGGATATTATATGAGAATAATAATGAGGCTTACCAGAGTGATAACCTTGGATGTCATACATATAAGTAATAAATAAGTTTGAATTACATAAGAATTCCTACTAAATACTTCATATATAGGGGTGAATTCTAATACAAAGTGGTCTTCCCATGAAAATTGAGAAGTGATCTAAGCCCTTCATCACTTAAAAATAGATGGAATAGATCAAAACTCACGATAAATCAAAATGTGTAATACATAATAGTAAAAGTGCATATACGATTTCTATACTTGTTTTTTATCGAAAAGTGATGCACTTTTGTGTTACTCTGATGCACTTTTTCTCCATAATCATGCACATTTATCACATTATTTTTCAAAAAAGTTTCTAAAATTTACACTATTGGCACCGAATTTTCCACTTAAAAATTGATCCGGTCCACTCATTTCCTCATTTTAACGGCTAAGATTACTTCCCATTTTTCACATGAGTAGTTTGTATTTGAATCTCTCTCTATGTATATATAACCTATCCGAGGTATAAAATACACAGTTACGGCACACCATTATTTGGTGAAAAAAATTACAACTGTGCTATCAAACAAAACAGACTTGTCAGTGTAGCCCCATAGTATAGCTAACAGCCACATACCTGGTTTTGTAGAGGGGGGGAAGATAACCAAGCAAGCTGTTCCACTTGAATCAAGTCCATGTTACGAGGCAAGTACATAATAATATTCGGTGTAATGTTGTGTGCAACCTGAAATAGCGAATAACTGCAACCGCATAATGGATTAGTTAGTAGTAATCTCTGATTCGAAACAAGACTTTTTCACTTTTATTGATTTATTACTAAATATTAACTCCCACATTTCCGGGAAAATAAATAGTATATTGGCCTGATAAGTTGTGGAAGGACTAACAACGAGTGACAGAAATGGTAAATGGAGATAATAAGCGGAGATGAAGTTATAGAAGTTGGAGAAAAATGGGAAGTTTTTATGTTAATATTAGGGGCAAGCACGTTCCTGGATGGACCCGGTATCGGGTCACCATTTGAGAGTGAGTGGATAGGAACATCAAAGAGAACTTTCCGAGCTCACAAAAACGACAGGTTTCACAGAAATAATAAAATTATATTTAGTTTCCGAGCAATAGAATATAGCAAAAGCAATGGCTAAATTGATGGTTTGAAAGCATAAGTTTGTAGATGCAACAGAGCATACCCATCTTTTGGTTTCAGGAGGTCTAGGGTATAGGTGTCTCTCAACTTATATGCTGGGCCACCCCATGGAGGAGAAAGAAATACCACATCTCCCTAACCAAGAACCAAGAGATGAAAACAAACCTTTTAGAGTGAAAACATAAAAAAATGCATTGTAGTTTTCATAAAAAAATGCAATGCATGGTTCAAATATGCATGATTAAAACCCACACACCAAAAGTAGATCAAAACTTGATTGATACTCTTTCGCATGATCTATCTTGTGAAAGAAATCTATCTTCATCAATAATGGATTTTATAGGTAGTTTCCACCAATGAATTATGGAATTTTATTAATCCAGGACCTGAAAGCAATTGGGATCCGAAAGATGAAATGTATATGTATAGGATCCCGAATGATAGAAAATTATCAATCTAGGACCTAACATTTCACCGGTTTTGATTTATTTAATTTTTTATTAATTTCATGGCTATTTTTTGATAAACTTTTCTACACAAAAGTTTATTAGTTTAATAAAACTAAATAATATTTTAAAAAAAAATTAAAATAATAAAATTCATGACAATTTAGGTTCTGGATTGATAGTTTTGAATCATTCAAGTCCTGAATTGATAGTTTTCCGTAATTCGAGTCCTATATCAGTACATTTTATTTTTGAGGTCTCGGATTGATAATATGTCCATCTTTCAGGTTCTGGATTGATAAAATTCCTAATACGGACCCATAAGGATCTGGCTTCTATGTTCCGTACATCACAGTCCCCGACCAGGCGACCACCATTAATAACATGCTGAGGCTTAGCTTCTAGTTGGGATTTGGTAGAATGTAAGGTCCGGTTGCACAGAGGTTGGGTGACTTGGGTTATATATTGTCTTGGGTTAAATGCTAAGCATAAAAAAGTTTCCAAAGACACAAAAAGTGATTTGGAATGTTATACAATCACGCATTGTTTTAACTGCCCTTTTTTCGTAAAATCTCGAATCATCAAATTACAAATTAAAAATTTAATAGGACTAAAACAATAAGAAAGTTTGTTCTAAAGCATTCCCAAAGTTAGAGCGGGGGAGCGGGTTTGGGTGGGATGAGATGAAAAAGACATTAATTACCTTGAGAAATGGTGCCAATTGGAAAAAATCCCCTGTAAGAAAATCTATGTATTCCTCCACTCCATATACCCTTGCATTGTTTTGAGCCATTTCAATCTTTCTAGGGTCAATGTCAATAGCAATTACATGACTATACCTGTGAAAGAGAACTTTTGTTTTTGCAGCCATTAAACAAAAACAAAAAACTGTAACTTACTCATTTTTATCAATCAATTATACGGAGTACTTACTTTGCGGCAAGTTGAATGGCATTTCCACCCACGCCCGTGAAAGCATCTATGACAACAGCGCCGCAGCATCGGTGGGCTTGCCTGGCGGCGATTTTCTCCGGCGTGACGGAAAACCACCCCTCTTCATCCATCCTTATGCCCTCGTCGTACTTGGAGAAGAGATTGAACCTTTGAAACCAGTACTTCTCAACCGCCGCGCTTACACCTTCGTCGTCTCCAGGTTCTTCATGTTCCTGCACAGATTTCATATTCCTCACACGGTAAACAAGAGTGAGAAAAAAAAAAAACAAATATCATGTTCCTTCACAGATTCCCCACTTTCTTTGGAGGCTGCAAACCTCTTCGATTGGAAAGCTTTCCACCATTCTTTGAACGGCGACGTTTCGGCGCCATCGCCGGAGAAGCGCGGGATGGAGATGGAGCTCCACAAACTTATGTGGAGTCATTTGGGCTCAATCGAACCCGAATAACTCTTCAAGCCCAATTAAACTTTGCATTGTTTCGGCTATTAATTAAATTTAATTACAAATCAATTTGATAGTAATTTAATTACAAATCATTTCAATTTATGCATAATTTTAAATTTTTATTTGTATTAATAAAACACTATAATAATAAGGGTAAATCCACTTTAATGGTAATAAAGTAGATTATATCCCTATTGGAATTGAACTATAAAAGTATTTAATTTGCTATTATATTGAATCAATCGACCGCTCTCTCTTTTTCTTTTGTCTTTTTATGTTCTTGTGTCATTTCTATCTTCTAGCTTTTTATGCTCTTTTATCTTTTAATCTTTTATCTCTCGTATATTCTTATGTTATTGTTATCTTATATTCATTTATCTTTATCATATTCGTTTTATTCTTTTTTCTTCTTCTTGTCTATCTTCTCTTTTTGACATCGACATTGTTGAGGTTAATACTTCAACCCTCGGGTCCAACACGTGAGCCCAAGGATTTCGAACGGAATCTTCATGCAGTGGAGCCTTCAGACATGTAGCCGAATGACTTTGTGTTGAGAGACTTGTTTGCATCTTTGAGAGAGCCTTCGAGAACATGTCTCCGAATTGTTGTTGAGCCTCCGGGGAGAATAGTATCCGGGGAGTCCCTTCCCCCCTATGCGTTTTTTTTTTAATGCTGTAGGAGGGGCATCAAGAAACTTGGTTTCGAGGAAGGCTTGGCCTATATGGGAGGCAACGGAACAAACCGTTGGCTCCCCCCTCGGGATTGACCTTCCGATATCCCGAAGGGTTTGAGGGTCGTTTCCTCGGCCCGAGACATCGTCTGTTGCCTGCTTCCCCTTGGGAGATAGCACAGAAAGCGCCTCGGTTTTGAAAGTCGTCCCCTTAGCCCGAGACATGGTCTGTTGCCTGCTTCCCCTTGGGGGATAGCGCGGGGAGCGTTTCGTTTGTGAAAGTCGAATCCTGGGCCCGGGACATGGTCCGTTGCCTGTCTCCCCTTGGGGATGGCGCGGGAAGCGTTTCTGGGAAGGGTTTTATTTGTGTGTGGGACACAAATAGCCGGGGGCACTTGGTGCCAGCCGGAGCCGAGGGGTATTGTACCCCCCGGATTTTTTAGGAGAGTATGTATAATGATGCATAATGTATGCATGAGGGCGTCTGATGTGCTTATATTTTACACATTTTTTAGGCTTAGTTTGTTAATAATCTTGGTCACTTAAGTTGTATATTTGTACATATTTTTATTATTTATCGTTACTTTGTACGTGTGCAGTCCTATGCATGTATTTTTGTATTTTCAGGTACTTTTGATACTATTTGATACATTTGTGTGTGAAGAAAAGAAGAAAATAAAAGTTCAAGTTGGAGATCAATAAAAGTGGAATTTCCTACAAAGCAAAAGAGTAAAATGAAGAAAAGAAGCAAATGATAAAAAGGGTAGAAGCATCTGGGATTCGATCCTTCGACCCAAGGGAATGAGGGAGCAAATCTGAACCAGTGAGCTAAATGTCTAAGTTGCAAAGGTTTAGCTGGAGCTTATTTTAATTCCTTTCAACTGCAGCAAGAAAAGACGAAAAATTACGGGAAAACTGTCAAATAGGTCCTCGAACTTTCATTAAAAAGTCAATTTAGTCCTTCTATAGGAGACTCTGTCCGGTCGTTGCGATTTGGGGCGCTTCCCGGTGGAATTTTTTAATGAAATTTTTTGAGCATCTTATTCATCAAGTCTAGTTTAGTCATACCTAATTTCAGCAAAAAATTCAATCGGGAGCGCATTCAAATTAATTCGATAACGCAAAAATGCGCAGTTATCTTCACGAATTAATTTGAATGTGTTCCCGATTGAATTTTTAGCTGAAATTTGGTATGAGTAAACTAGACTTGGTGAATAAGATGCTTAAAAATTTTCATCAAAAAATTCCACCGGGAACTACCCCAAATCGTGACGGCCGGACAGAACCTCCTATAGAAGGACTTAATTGACTTTTTTATGAAAGTTCGAGGACCTATTTGACAGTTTTCCCAAAAATTACGTCAATAGAAGGGGTCGAACACGGGACCTCAGAGTCCTAAGAGCATTCCATTTCCACTGCACTGCTACGCGTTATTGATACTTAGACGCGATTTCTTGTACATATACTATTCGGTTCCGTAAATTCCAGCAATTAATCATTAATCATCTTATCATTATAAGGCTTAATCCATCTCCTTCCACACAATATCTCGAGCCATCTTCTCTCTAAACCTCCCAGAATCATTTCCTCCTCCTTCTCTCTTCATTCTTCATCTCCAAATCATCAACCAATCTTCAACATCAATTAATCACTTTCTCAATCAAGATTAAAGTCAAGATTAGCACCAAGCTCCAAGGATTGTCATCTATCACAAGTTTGATCTTCCTTATCTCTTTAAATCTTGTACTTCAATCATGAATTCATCTATTTCTAAGCTTCCCAACATGTATAGCTAAATAAATTTGGGGCTAGAAATTGGTTAATTAATTGTTCTTATCATGTTTTAATTTGTATTGATTTTAATTGTTAAGTTTGTTCTATTTAGATTGTTGTGTCCAGAAAATTAATTATGTTATGTTTGTGATATATATTATGAGTACTCAATCATAAACATATTGTTTGTTAAATACACAAATGAACACTTTCTGAACACACCGTTAAACTTCTTTTACCTTGTCCCGGATTGAAGTTTTACGGGAGAATTTAATTATTTAATTATATTATTTACACCACGGGGTTGGGTAAATAACATAGTTAATAATTAAGGTTGTCGTTGCACTTAAACAACTAGTCTCGTTTTGGCCATCACTGAGAAATGTTGACTAGTTACTTATTTTAGATGACTTGTGTTGGGTCCTAAAATATTTATCCACAACTTCTCACAATCTATCTACGAATAAAATTAGCAATTATTTCTTTCAATTAAACATTGAACAATTATTAACCAATTTCTACCCCTACTTGCTATTGGTTGAACTTTGTGTTGATAAAAATCTCTCATCTCAATCACTTTTATTTTATTACTTTTCCAAACAACCAAAAAAAATCAAAAGAAACGCACTTCCAACTTTAATCCTTAGTTTGTGCTTAATTATTTTATTTCCCGCTTCTCTGTGGTTCGACACCCTACTTCCTTGGGTAAAAAAATAGTTGTGTGCCCATTATATGCTACACACCAACTTGGCGCCGTTGCCGGGGAAGCGGTTTTGAAAAAAAAAAGTGAAAGCATGAACTTTTGGTTTTAGTTATTGTAAATTGTGTGTATATTATTTTCTTGTTATCTTGTTTACTTTTGCAGGTTAAAAAAAATCATAAAAAAGTGATTAATTAAAGTTCAAAAAAAAAAAAAAATTGAACTTAATTAATTACCTTATCTGAGCATTGGAGTTGGACACTTTGACTGAACATATATCTGGACATTTGGACCATTGGACATATTGTCACATTTTAATTCAAAGGATACTCCGCCTTTATGGTCGGACCGCTAATTTGTACATATTAATTGAACGGATAATCCGCCTATATGGTCGGACCGTTTACTTGAACATAGTAATTTAAAGGATACTCCGCCTATATGGTCGGACCGTTTATTTTTCTTTTTATGGTGGTTAAAACCCCAACTTTTTAATTTTTGCACTTTAATTATCGCAATTTAATTTATGCACTTTAAATATCGCAATTTAGTTTCCGCACTTTAATTTCAGCATTTTTTTTATTTTTTTTGCATCCCCAAGCTTGTCGGCCGTGTCCGCTTGTTGGTGGCGTGCACTTTTTAATTTATTTCTTAATAATCCCCAGACTGTCGGCACAGCTGCATCTTGGTGGAGACTGTATTTATTACTGTAGTTATGTTTTTCTCTTCTTCTCACACCATATCTGTCGGCCCTGCCGCATCCTGGTGAATTACTGTATATATTAATACTGCTTTAAGGGCTCACTAGTCTTATTCGGTTTATACCAATTGACTAAGTGCGAACCTTAATTAATTAATTAATTCCGCAATTTTTCTTTTCTTTTCATCTCTCTCTTTCTCTCTTTTCCCAATCCCGATTCCCTTCTGCTTATGCTTACACGTTCACGTGGTGAAAATTGTGAATTGTTATTCTTCTCTGACATTGAAAAGCACATACGTGAACAGAAAAAAAATAAAAAAAAAATGTCAAACGATGTTGTTGTAAATGAGCAGGAACCAGATCAACAAATCGTGGATCAGGTTACAAGGACCAGGAAACCGTTGTATGATTATGTTACGCCTCCCGTGGATGAGCATGACAGTGTTATTCCACCGGAGGTTAACATGAACCAATTTGAAATCAAGCCTGCTATCATCCACATGGTTTCAAATGATCAATTTGGCGGAGCGCCAACGGAGGATCCAAATAATCACATCACAAAGTTCCTTCGAGCTTGCAACAACTTCAAAATCAATGGTGTGCCATCTGATGCTGTCAGACTACGCCTATTCCCATTCTCTCTACGGGATCGAGCTCAGAGTTGGCTTGACTCTTTTCCAGACAATCACTTCTCCACTTGGGATCAACTTCATGGTGAATTTCTCAAAAGATTTTTTCCGCCATCTAAAACGGCGAAAATCCGGAGAATGATTCAAAATTTCAAACAAAATCCCAATGAGCCCCTCTATGAGGCTTGGGAAAGATTCAAAGATCTTCAGCGACAATGTCCACATCACAACATCCAAAACTGGCACTTGATGACGGCTTTCTATGAAGGTCTAAGTGAAAATTCTCGGATACTTGTGGACGCGTCCGCAAATGGATCATTCATGTGCCTAGAACTTGAAGAGGCAGAAGAATTGATGGAACGCATTTCATCAAATGGATCAACATGGTATTCTGAGCGATCATCTGCTCCACCAAAAGTTGGAGGCATGTACGAAGTTGATCAAATGTCGGCCATAACCACAAAGGTCGATAACATTATGACTTTGATCCAAAAGATGGCACAAGTCTCTCTTGTGCAAAACTCTGCATCAAC